TCTTCTTCCCTACGCTATGCCTGCTATCTGTAACACCACACGTCTTCTCTTCTCCCTCACCACCTACCTCAGCCTTCACCGTCTTCATAGTTAATAAATCTAAAGAACTTCTATTGTCAAAGGACTCAAAACCCATAAGCAAAATCCAGTCAAACTCTACCATTTTATCTCTGGAGACACCCTTGAAGCTAAAGAAGATGGGTAATCTCTGAAAATTTCACTTCTTACTCTTTTAAAAAGACCTTGAATGAAAGCTGATAATGAAGATGGTGAGGAAGAAGAAGAATCTGATGTAGCAGGGGGAGATTTTTGGCGGATTTCTTTCATCAAGCCCCGCCCCAATGACTTGCTTTATAACACAATTAATTCCTGGTTGCCCATTACGTCAATCTTCCCTTCTTTCACTAGTGTTTTATTTATTTATTTATTTAAAGATTTATGGTTTCATGTTTAATGGGTGTGCACATATTTTTAAGATTTTTGTCTTTTTATTAATTTTCACCGAAAACGAGAGGGAGAGAAAGAGGGGGTGGGAATATTGGAGTGGGAGGGAAGGCCGGGGTGGGTGGCTAAGAGGGGTAAGGTAAGAGGGTTGTGTGGCGTCGATAGCAGGGGCATAGCACAGGGAAGCAGGAGGGGGGGAAGGGTTAGGGTCATTAAAGTTGAAGGGTAAAGTTGTAAGCCAAAGTCCAGTTGTAAAATATATTTTAATTTTGTTTAAAAAAATACATGTGGCAAATTTTGAGTGGAAGTATCACCAGCTGACGTGGTGATACAGTATCATTCTATAATTTCTCCAATTTTGGGTGCATCTTAACCTACAGGACATCGCTGCAAATTTTTCTTTGTGCCTAGTGAAATCAATGGGAAGTTTTCTATCCATTTTAAGTTGTTTAGATTTGTTGTTTCTTCCGTTAATCTTTTGGGTGATTTTATTGGCACCCCATTATTTGCTCTTTACACCCCATACTAATTTTAAATATAAATAATCTACTTTACCCTTGTACACAATTACCGTTAAGGACAAAAAAATTTAAAATTAAAATTAAAATTGCTCACTACACCCCACATATGTTCCTGCAATCCTTTTTTTCTCAAACTATCATGTTCCTAAACCCTAAACCCTAGATTTATAAGTTTATACTGGTGAAAAAATATCTTGTATTTATTCATGAAGGGTGAGATTGAAGTTAGAGAGGCTTCGAATGAGGTACGAGTTTATTTTTTGGCGTTTTGCAAGTTTAGTATTTCATAACAGTCGCTGGTTGCGTTCAGCACATCAATACTGAAAGCGACAGGTAAATTCGGTGGAATGCCACCGAAACGTTGCACCATTTTCGGTTGGGTTTGACCGGTCAGCAACTTAATATTCGGTGGAGATCCACCGTAAGATGGAACCTAGTTCAGTGGTTTACTACCAAAATTTTACCTGCGTTTTAGTGGCATCCAACCGAAATTTATTTATTTTTCCAATAACTTATTGCCGACCACAAATTTAATCCAAGCTATTTTGATCTTACTCCCATTGAAGGAACAAAATCAAGGTGACGCCCCTACTGAAGGCAACAATGTGGGAACAGAATGTGTAATAGACTATAGTGATCAATTCACAACTTATTCGATAATTATTTGTCTGAAATCTTTTTTAATATCATTAACGTGGCATTAATGTTTCAAAATTTATATTTAAATAATATGAGTTTTATGTGTAGATATTCAATGGTAGAGATGCATTACTTCGATGGGCTCGTGAACAAGGAAAATTGAATAATATTGTCATTGTAATTAAAAGGTCTGATTATGGAGGTGAGGGCAATAGGAGACCTCGTGTAATACTTGCTTGTGAGAGGAGAGGTAACTATAAGTCTTGCAAGTCTAGTGAGACAACTGATGATATAAGGTCGGATGCAAATAGTGATATGAAAAAATGTGCTAAGGACACTGGTACTAAGAAATGTGGATGCCCATTCTTGTTAAAAGGTGTCAATATTGGTGATGAGGATGATTGGAAGTTGGAGGTGGTTTGTGGAGTACACAACCATCCTATTTCCAGGTATGAATTTATTTGTTTACCCAACATTGGTTAATTTTATATGCTATGCGTATATGAATGAATTCTTGTTTTGTAGGTTCATTTGTCTCCAGATCATCCTATTCCACCAGTTTCTAGAATGTGGCATGAGCAAAGTGATATATGCAATGTAATACATTTGTACTCGAGGTACCAAGCACATGTGGATGCTTTTCAACAACTTCCGGGAGTGGAGAATGTAGCTACTACAGATACCGTCATCTTAATGACTGATGAAAATGCACCTGTTACAGAATTGAGATTATAGATCTAATAATTTTATTTAAATTTTGTTCACATGTAACCTGAAAAGTACATCTTTGTGTGCATGCATGTTGCAATGTTCAAAGTATAGAAGGATTTGACTATTTGTGGGAGCAGAACTTACAGTCAACAAGTGGTTCTTATGATCCTCTTAATCATCAAATGAATAAAAAAAACTGAACAAGCTTCATCCTACAATCGTTTCACTCCGCCACTTTGCTCAAATTCTAATCCCAGTTCTGCAAGAGCTATTTTCCCATGAAAGATGCTCAACAATTCAGTACTTTCTCTTGATAGTTGATCAAAAACCTGTCTAAGAAAAACTTCTTACTCTTCATCAGGATGAAGAATCTAGCCTCACTTGTCAGGTGATACATGATGTACTCCTCTGAATATGTGTCTGAAACATTGGAGAATCTAGCCTCAACTGTCTGAAACATTACTATCCTGAGTAGCAGCTACATCTTCAACCTTTGTGTCAACATTACTATCATGAGTAGGAACTACATCTTCAACCTTTGTAGTATTCTCAAAGTGATCTTGAGGAGCCGCTCTTTATCTCCTCGTTGAGGCCGTGGGACGCTGTCTATTAGGTCGGGATGATGAAGCCTCAGTAGTACCTCTGCGAGTCCTCTTCATATCTAAAAACAAACAATATTAAGTACACACTTAGTAACGTATTTGGTAGATGATCACTGAAAAAAGGAAATAAATTCGGTGGACTATCACTGAAAAAAGAACACATATTCGGTAGAGTACCATTGAAAAACTGAAATAAATTCGGTGGGAGTCTCCTGAAAAATAGAAACAGATTCGGTGGACAACCACCGAGAAAAGGTAACAATTTCGGTGGTAACCCACTGAAAGTAAAATAAATTTTCGTACAACTCAGGTTCAAATTCAGTGGACTACCACTGAATCATGTAACCATTTCGGTGGTAATCCACCGAAACTAGAATCCAATTTCGTAAAACCAGGTTCGAACCATACACAACGTTGAAATCAAAATTAAAATCAGAATCAGACGACCAAACTGCCACAAATAACCAAGATTTCTTGGGCTTCGATAGTCTTACCAGAACCACGTGGTAAGAAGTCCTTCCCAACAATGCTCTCCAAGGCAGAAGACTTCCCTCAACTCTGCAGGACAGAACAAAAATATAAGCAAACATTATATATTTGCATCACAACAAATTCAATACTTCAACCAATTCTTCTAAAATTCGCTATCATATTCCATAAGTTTTGTTTCTTTTTTGTTCCCAATTAGCAAGCATGTTCCACTTAGCGTAGACAATTCCTAATAGTTCAACCGAAACGCATAAAAGCAATTCATTTGTTTTAAGCACCACGAGTATAAACTAGTTCGAAGCATTAAGCTTTGGTCAAACTTGGGGGCTAAGTTATAGAGCAGATAAAAAGAAACACAAATCAAAGTTCATATACTCGGATCGATGAGAGAGATAAGAGAAGGTGAGGGATCGGAAGTGGACCTAGCCACCGACGACGACGATGGGGGTTTGCTGGGTTGTGCGATGGGTCTTTGCAAAGGGATGGGTTTTGCGATGGGGTGTCTTTGCAAGAGGAGGGAATTTTCGATGGGGTGAGGCTTGATATCAGATGGGGTGGGGTTTGATTTCAGATGAGGTGTGTTGAAAGGGAAGGGAGTTTTCGGTGGGTGGTGTCTGATATAGGAAATGGGGTTCATGAGGGCAATTTAGGAAAAAAAATGGGGTATAATGAGCAATTTGAAATTTTATTAAAATTTAGTGGGGTGTAAAAAATTATGGGGTGTAAAGAGCAATTAATGGGGTTCATATAGAATTACCCTAATCTTTTACCAAATATATGTAATTTTTTTAATTCGAAACTTCTTGTAAATTTTAAATATTCCTTCTTGTTTTAACGCCTGAAAACAAAGTCTAACTAACTAGTTTAATTTCATTTATTGTTTCCGAACCAGCAGTACAATTTCAATATTTTTTCAATAATCCTTCTATTCTACTGCCTTTGGTTGTCATTTATTCTCATCTTAATCCCTTTACATCACACCTTGGTTTTTGGAGTGTGGCATGTAGTTCAAGTGGTTAAAAGCATTTATCCTTGCATTTGAGGTCTTAGATTTAATTTTCCCGTCCCCTAATATCGTTTGTATAAAAAAATAATATATATAAAAAATTTGCAAAGCAATACATGGACATGAATTGGTCAATCTATAATGACCACAGTTGATTAGACATGCTATGGCAATACATGGACATGATTCATGAATGTCATTGAGCTCAACATGGTGATCTGACTATGGCTAGGGGAGACATGCTAAGTATGAGAGTCTCTTATTTTTATTTAAGTTTTTAGATATTTATTTCTCACATAAATCTCAAAATTTCTCCATTTCACTCCCAAAAAAAAAAAAAAAAACTGAACTTAATTATAAATGAAATTGGTGTGAATACAATCAAATTTAGCAATTCTTGAACATAATTTATGACCAAAAAAAAAAAAAAAAGAACATAATTTGTTAAATAAACGTGTCTTATAGTTTCATTTAAAATTTCCAAATCGACCACGTGTCATAGTTCAGGTGCGAAACAAGTGCGTCTCAGTCCCATTATTTAACCTAACTTATGCGACATGTCGTTGGGATAGGAGGTATAGAAACCCGGTTCATTCCTAACCCCCCACCGAAATATATAATAAGTTCAAATTTCGCAGCAAACAGAGGAAACAAGCTAACCCAAAACCCAGTTTCTGCATTGGCTTCTGTGAGTCCCATCGATCAAGAGACCAAGCTTTTCAGAGCGGCGAAGTTAGGGTTTTGTGTCAGTCTGATCGGGTAGGTGAACATTGTTGAATTCTCAATTTCTTCATGTACTTGTCTTTTTAGTATGCAATTCTTTTCGAAACAGTAATCTTCCTGTTTTCTTTTCTGTTGAACAGTTTAAGTTTTCGAAACCCTTTGCAATTGTTTGGTTACTCTTAAGGAGCTTAGGAAACGGAGGAAAATTTAAGTTTTCGAAACCCTAGCCTCAATTAGTGATATTCATGGACTGCTTGTGTTATTTTTTTTGATTTTATTTCTAGGTGTAGTAAATTAAGGGTGTGAGTTGAAGAAGGTTATGACACCGTCAGATGACTCAGATGATGAGAGCAAGCATTTGCCAGATTTTGTTACGAATTACCATTTTATAGACGACGAGGATGTACCTGTCTCTTTTCATGTTTTGCCAATTGAATGGAGTGAGGGTAAGAGGCAGGATGGCAAGACTCGGCAGATATCTATGCGTGGCACTGCTGATAATGGGCTTCAGAGAATATATATGCAGGTTATCGCATGGAAGTTTGACCTTTCCAATGTGGATCCTGTGATCTCGGTGCTCTCAAAGGAAAAGCACTGGGTCAGGCTTCAGAAGCCAAGGAAGAGCTTTGAGGACATAATAAGGTCAATCTTGATAACAGTGCAGTGCCTTCATTATGTGAAGAGAAATCCTGAGACATCCAGCAAATCTTTATGGGATCATCTATCTAAAGTTTTCAGGTATCGTTCAAACGTGTAAACATCTCTTCTGTTGCTAGTTTTCTTAGCCCAAAGTCTAACAGTTTCACTTTATTTGCAGCTCGTATGAGGTCAGGCCGTCGCAGAATGACCTGGTGAATCACATGCCTCTAGTTAGTGAAGCTATTAAATGGGATGATGCCTTAGCAAAGTCCAAGGTTTTGTCTAGTTCTTTTCTTAGCATTGTAACTGTACTGAGTAATTAGCCATTATGGGGATTTTAGTAGGATTCAAGCTTTCTATACTTGTTTTTCTTTAACTTGGTTTGATCTCTGTGTTATTTTCACTCTATTGTTATTTCCTGTTTCCTGTTCTGATCCTTCTGAATGAATTATAAACTATCTTTATGTTTATGCATAGTTAATTAAATGACAGATTGTGTTTTGAACAGTTTTTAGTCAACTTTCTTAAAGAGAAGCCCATGAAGAGGAAACTATATGATGAGGTCATATTCTCTTGCTTATTTGTTTACTCTTTCATTAGCACACTTTATCCCTGAGTTCTTTCATTTATTTCTCTAGTTTGGCTTTTAGTTTCATGTTACAGTGTTTGAGCCAGTGAATTCATGGATTTTCAGGACATTCAAGCTACAGAAAAGCCCGGGTTTATAGTTGATGACCTAGAAGATTATGTGATTGATGTTGAAGACGAGTCCAATGATGATGACAACCTGTTTGATTCTGTTTGTGCTTTTTGTGATAATGGTGGAGATCTTTTGTGGTATGTTCTCGTGTTGTCTAATTTCTATGATAATAGTGATAATCTTGGCATTATTTAAAGAACTTAATTTCCTAGAATTAATGGTTTAAATGTATGTGTTTATTTTCTCTTCTAATACAGCTGTGAAGGGAGATGCCTAAGGTCCTTTCATGCAACTGAAGAGAGTGGTGAGGAATCTATGTGTGAATCTCTTGGCTTTACACAGGATGAAGTAGATGTATGCTCTTATTAACCACTTTTGTTGTAAATCCTGTTTCTTTCTTTTTGGTTGTCTTTTCGTTATTGCTATTATGATTATTTTTATTTTATGTTTTGAACTTGGTAGGCGATGCAAAATTTCTTCTGCAAGAACTGTGAATATAAGCAGCATCAGTGCTTTGCTTGTGGGAAGCTAGGATCCTCTGATAGATCTGCAGTTGCTGAGGTATGAATTCTTTTCTACCTAACTGTTAGCATGTTCACTTGATTAGTTTTAGCAAGTGGCACTCTAATATGAAAGATTGTTAGAGTTATTCTATTTGTTCGTGCCTTAATGAAGCAATACTCAGTACAGTTTTGTTAATATTTTTGTTCTTTTGATGTGAAGTGTGCTGCAATTTCGTTATTATTTAGCAAATGGCACTCTAATATGAAGTGTGCTGCAATTTTGTTTTCTTTGGATGTGTGGCAACGTGATGAGTTATTCAGAAATGAGCTGTTTGGGATCATTTTCTAGTGTTTGGGCTACTTGCTCCTTGTCTTCTGCTATGCTCTATTGCTCTTTGATTATACTTATATTTTTTCTCTCCTATGTTGTGCTTGTCTTGATGTTGTCTTCCCTATTTCTGGGACGTGGATCTTTTCTTAAGTGTGTTTGTAGTGCCCAATTCATCCTTTGTGCATTATTTCTGGTTGGCATTCTTTTCCGTTTCTTATATTAATGTATTATTCTTTTTTGACTCATTTTGCTCAGTCTAGCTAGAATAACTTTTTCTTTGCCCGATATTTTCCATATATCCCATAGCTGATTTAGTGAATTTCCCTGGCACTGATATGAATTTTATTATATCTGTTTTAGGCTACACATATAATTTCTCTGGTTAATTATTATTTTTCTTTGAAAACGAAAGGGATTTGAAGCCATAGGAAAGGTGAGCATTCATTGTCAGTAAATCAACTGAAAGAATGGCCATACAGGATATTAACATAAGACCAGCCTATTGGGAACATGTAGAGACCAATTACCATAAATAAAGAAAGTGATACCCCTTCAACAATGGTCATCACAATGCACCTCCATAATATTTTTTAGTTCTTTGATTTTAACCAAAGCCTATTGAATCAATTACAAATATGAAGTCCCCATGTTAGAAGTAACTGAATAAATATGTTTTTACTAAAGAAATTCATTTTCTTTTGTAAAGCGTTTTGCGATTTTGTTGGTAGCGTTATCTGGATTATTGTGAACTTCTTTTATTTATTATATATATCAGCGAGAAGTTTTCAATATGTTCTTTTCTGCCTTTTCATATTGTCATCTACAGGGTATTACTATTATTCTTATGTTTGGTTTACCTTAAAGCATTTTTGTTAATTGCTGTCAGGTGTTCCCCTGTGTTTCTGCAACCTGTGGTCAATTTTACCATCCACATTGTATTGCACAACTCGTTTATCAAGACAATGGAGTTACTGCTGAAGAGCTTGAAAAAAACATTTCTAAGGGGGAATCTTTTACGTGCCCAATACATAAATGCTGCGTTTGTAAACAAGGAGAGAATAAGAAAGATCCTGAGATGCGTTTTGCTGTCTGTAGGCGTTGTCCAAAATCCTACCATAGGAAATGCCTGCCACGGTACTCTTAATTGTATTTTTTTGTTTGTTTTCCTTTTAATATGCTGTTTGGAGATCATGGATTGGTCCTTTACTTGTTTCTAGATGGCCAATGATTGAATTGCTTGTACCAGGGAGATTGTATTTGAGAAAAAAGCGGGAGACGTAGAAGAGGAGAATGTAATACTAAGAGCTTGGGAAGATCTATTACCTAACCGTGTACTAATATATTGCACGTAAGTATTAATTTTTCTGAACTAATTTTGTTCAATCCTTTGTTCGCTTTTATTTTTCTGAATGCTTTTTCTTTTTCTTCGGATTAGGAAACATGAGATAGTTGAAAGCATTGGAACTCCAATAAGGGATCACGTAAAATTTCCTGATGTTAAAGAAAAGAAGACTACCATTGTTAAAAGGAAGACTGGTTTTGACGAGAAAAAGAGAAAATGGACAACAGAATCTTTTCTAGATAGAGAGAAATCTGTGACAAAGAAGAGAAACCTTTCCTCTGAAGAATTCCGTAGGGGGCAAACTGCTCCTACATTGTCTAGACAGAAGCTGAAGTTACCTTTTCCTGCAAAAGTGGGTGGTAGCAAAACTAGTGAAAAAGTACCATCTCGGTTAGATATATCAAGAAAGGTGAAAGTAAATAGTTCATTGAAAAAGGAAATTAAGACTTCCGTAGCCGAGGGAAAGAAGTCCTCATTGGGTGATCAACTATTTGACTACATGAAGGGGTCTGAGCAAGTGAAGTCAGGGAAGCAGGGTAAACCTGATGGTGAGTGTAATTCGGCAACAGTTAATCCTGCTTCAAAGAAGTTGAGCAGTGAAGAACCATCTTTAGATGCAGCTTCAGAGAGGAGGTAACTATTTCACTCATTGTTACGAATTCTATCTATCTGTTTATCTAATTTTCACACTTAAAAAAAAAATTAACATTACCTCTTTCATCTAATGTATGTGTATATTGTACACCTGTAATTTAACATCTCTCTCTCACTCTCTCTCTATACATGAGCACACACACACGTGTTTGGTTACTTTACAAGGACTTACCATGGCTGCAGACAATTTTGATTTGAGGTTTCATTCATGTTGTGTAGTTGTCTGATTTATTTCTTGCAATTCAGATTATTGGCTTTAATGAAAGATGCTGCATCCTCAATAACTTTGGAAGACGTTATAAGAAAGCACAAAGTTCCATCTACTCATGCATTTTCGTCGAAAAATGCTGTGGAGAGGAACATTACACTGGGAAAGGTGGAAGGTTCAGTTGAGGTAGTCTAAACTGAGAGAATTTCAACTGTTATTCTGGACTATGAGTTTTTATGATTTCTTTTATCATGTATTTTGTAATGTCGCCCATAATATTTAGGCTATTCGAACGGCGTTACGGAAACTAGAGGAAGGATGCAGTATTGAAGATTCAGAGGCTGTTTGTGCGCCTGAAATTCTTAACCAGATTTTTAAGTGGAAGGTGGTTTCCTCTTTATGTCTCACTTCCCTACAACTTATCTTAACTTGGGTGTTTAGGTGAAGATTATTTATATTAATTTATAGGTTTCCTGCATTAAGGCTTGTAGGTATGTGTTCCTTATATGCTAGACTTGCGCTTCTCAGCTATATGCGTATTCAGGTTATGCTTGGTTTGTGTCTCGGGTAATGGGTGTAAACTAGCCAAGTGAAACCAAGTATCACAGTGCTCAAACTTGCCTTGATTGAAATTGGTTGAGCGTTAGGAAAGCTTGATTAACTATGCTGTAAGTTGTGCTTTGAATGTTATTTCCAGCATGAGGTTGGCTTGTATGTGAGATATGCTGAACTTGAGTTCAACTTAAGTTCGGTCAATGGGGGATGTGAGATAAGCTGAACCTGTTTTTTCTCTTTTCTGTTTGAATTTGTTATGCCATTTTATTCATATGTAATATTTGTTATGCCATTCTATTAAAAAAAAAAAATGTAATATTTGTACTAATGGTTCATTAGAAAACGGTCATGCTCTCTTGCTGTCCCATTAGTATTATTGACTTACTTTGATGCAGAACAAGCTGAAAGTCTATCTTGCACCTTTTTTGCACGGAATGCGCTACACTTCCTTCGGTCGCCATTTCACAAAGGTGGAAAAACTAGAAGAGGTAATCTGGTTGTGTTCATGTTTTAGCTATTTCAAAGTTACACAGCACTTTTTTGTTATCTTATTATTTTGGCTTGCACTAGTCAGCTTATTTTGTAAGGTAATATTCTTAGAGGAAACTTGCAGTTATGGACATGTCCATCCCAGTCATGTTGATACAATCACTTATGCTCAAGATAATCTTGACATTGAAAAAATTGCATGGTTGTTTTTTTTGTTTCTCCAGTCAAGGACAATGAGATCACTGCATCGACTGATGGATTTCTTTCTTAATTGTTTTTTAATGAAAACTTTACTAGTGGACAAAGTCAAGAAGTTGCAAAGTAATGCCCAGTCTAGGACAAGAGGTTCAACTTTTAGATGAAAAGTACAATAATCCCATCTTCAAAAATTCTATTATGACATCTCACCGAATCACCCAAAAAGCTCTCTATTCACACAGTGGTGTGGATGTTTGTTTACTCCTGTTTTCATATAAATGTTTGTCTTATCTGCTTCTGTGTTTTTGCCTTTGCTTTAATAAATTTCGTTTCTTCGCCAAAAAAAAAAAAAAAAAGAAAAAAAAAAAGCCTCTCTTTGACACAGTTTTTCCATTTTTTTAATCTGGTCTGCACACCTTCCCTTTATTAAATTTGAGCCGTTGAGCGTGGATTATGAACTCCATGAATTCTTGAAGAATTCTAAAGTAATAATTTGGTATGTGCAGATTGCTGATAGGCTCCATTGGTACGTAAAGAATGGAGATACAGTAAGTTTGTATATGTTTTTCGTTGTGGTTTTAGTACATTGGTGTATGTGAGTGCACTATGTGTTGTAACAAGAAATATCTTCTGGATGCTACTTGGAGTTATGCAGTTGATAATACTCTCGTATATGTTCCTGATGCTTAATGATCTGAATTGAATTATGCTTATCCAAATTATAGTCATGCATGATTTTTAATTTGAATGGTCGGTTATTTGCCTGTGTGTATTCCTTTTTCAGAAGCTTCTTAGTACCTGAAGCTGTAGTCACTGTTCACATATACGCCAACTCAATAGATCATTATAGTATATTTGGCATTTTGTGTTTCTGACTGCATGGATTAAAACTGCAATACAAACTGTTGCAGTCTTGCAGCTTTATATTTATCAAATATAAAGCATATCAGTTTTTCGTTTAGAAACTACGACTAGGACCTTATCATCTTAGTGATAGCAGAAGTGTTGGTATTTATTCTTGAAAAGGAAAAACTTAAGGAGATGAATATTTTACACTCCATGAAAGCTGTGCTGCAATTCTTTGTGAGGGAACACTATTCGTGGGAAAGAAGGGTTTGGGTAAATTATTGTATTTCCGAGGACTATTCCAGGGTTTGTATGGAGGAGCTTTGTGCTTTGGGGGAAGTTCAGATTTTAGTCAATAACATTGGATTCGGAGATATTTCTTTTCATATATTTTTGTTTCTGCTTGTCAAGTTTCTATTTAGGCTGTCTTTAGATGTATTTTATTTAGTGGATTACTTGTCCATGGTTTTTTTTTTTTGGTACCTGGTTTTGGAATCAATAAATTCTTAAAAAAAGAATCTGATTATATTATACTTTTATTCTGCAACAGAAAAACCTGTCATGATATTGAACTTTGGTTTGACATGACACAGTTGATTGGGCTATAAATATATTCACCACAGAAGTCATAAGTTAATAGCTTCTTTAAAAATCATTTTTTTGTTCTTCAGTACACATTAAAAGAATAGAAAAGATAAATTCTGTTGTTGTGATTCCATAATAAATGGGATATCAATATGGGATCATGAGCCTTAGGTTGTTAGATATGATTGCTAGTGGCTTGATTATTTTAGTATTTTACGTACTTTTTCAGTGTTCATTACCTCATCAAATTATTGCTCACCTGATTGCTTATGGTCTCAATGAACAGATAGTAGACTTCTGTTGCGGTGCTAATGATTTCAGCATCATAATGAATAAAAAGCTTGAAGAGACGGGGAAGAAGTGCTTTTACAAAAACTATGACTTCATTCAACCGAAGGTAATTGTCATCAATATCAGTCCTAAATATTGGTCAATTCACATACATCAATGTTATCCTTAAAAAAAAAAAACATACATCATGTTATCAATGATATACGTTTTTTTTACATGGTTGCATTGGTCACCAGTGTTCAACACAGTTGAACATGGGATATGATGTATGGTAGAAACTAGAATGGTGTTTGCAGTATCAGAAGTTACTAACTGTGTATAAGGGTCCGAACCACTTGCTAGAAATATGTACGCTGGTTAGCTTTATAGTTTATCCCGGAAGTTGCAGTTGTGGGCTTTCAGAGTCAGAAAGTAATGAGGTAGTGAGGGAGAAGGATAGCCTACATTTAGTGCCGCTGTGTGATGACAGGACATGCTTCATATATTATGCAATAAAAAATTACAGGAAATACTGTTCTTTATCAGATCTGTTTTCATCCATTAAATGATAAAACTTCTGAGGGCTAGGGATATGTGACAAAATATGTGCCTTTACTTATTGCAAATTGTCGGGACCCTAATTTCAATGGTTTTTAAGGGTCCTTATATATTTTTGTCTTAGAGAGACTCAATGTTCGTTAATTCTAAGTCTTCTACTATGTGAAATTCTTTATGAGTCTTTGGGGTTCAATTTGAAGCTTATAAGTAATTCCATTACTTAAGATTTTGATGAGTAAAATATGAAGAGTTGTAAATGGGTTGCTGTCTTAGTATCTCTGTCTATGTTTTATCCTATTTCTTCTCCTGTTAATTTTTCCAGTTCTCAAATTTTCTACAATTATGAAACCCTAAATTTGTTTGTTCTTTCCTTAAAGTTATTATAATTTCTAGAAGTTTTGCCATTTATAGGCCCAGATTGCAAAATTGTTCAGAAGAATCACGTACTGGGATGTGGTTATATATTTTAAGACAATTTATTATCAAAAGAAGTGTTTTTGGGCTCTGATTTGGGATAACTTTTTGTCATACTTTTCAAATAATGTGTAAGGGGACCTACTGAAATAGGTAATGCTGTACAGATTTCCAAATTAAATTGGCCAGTTATAGCCTATGGTAGATAGGCAAGTACAAAAAATCTTGTACTTCCACTGTGAATGCCTACCGTATTTCAGACTTTGGGTTTATGAGGTTTGTAATTATAGTGAAATGCAAATTGTACAATCAGCACTTGGAGTTTATTCCTAGTTCTTGATTCTCTTCATCCTCATTTTTTGCTTCAAAAAGTTACTGTGATTAATTTTGTTTCTTATGATTGTTTTCATATGTCACACCCTATGTTGGGTAGTAGGCTGTTGTGTGTTTGCATTTTGGTAATTTACAGGCTTATGAAACAGAAAAACTGGGAAACTGATCGTTTTATGTGGATTTTCATTTGGCAGAACGATTTCAATTTTGAGAAGAGAGATTGGATGACTGTTCAACCAAAGGAGTTACCATCAGGGTCACACTTGGTAGGAATTGGGGCCTGTTATTTGTTCAAGATGTTTGAGTTCGTAAAGCCTTATGTTAATTGTTTCACTCTCCCTAACTTTGCTTCTTGAGCAGATCATGGGGTTGAACCCTCCTTTCGGAGTTAAAGCGTCTTTGGCCAACAAGTTTATTGACAAGGCTCTCGAGTTCAATCCAAAGATTCTTATTCTTATTGTTCCACCAGAAACTCAAAGGTAGCTGCTCTCCACTCTCTCTCTCTCTCTCTCTCTCTCACACACACACACACACACACACACACACACACATACAGAGAAAAGCATCAGCATGGGCTTGCCTTTGAGTTGGACTTAAACCTGTATATAGTTTCTCTTACATTTGGGTCTGTTATTAGGTTAAATGAAAAGAATTCACCTTATGACCTGATTTGGAAAGATGAGCAGTTTCTGTCAGGAAAGGTAAAGTGAGTTGTGTTTGTCCTTGTGGCTGAATCTTAATTTTGTGAATCAAAATTTTTGAATGTGAGTTTAATGGTTGCTTGTCCTCCTTTCAGTCATTCTATCTCCCTGGATCTGTTGATGGGAATGACAAACAATTGGAGCAATGGAATGTGAGGCCACCACCCCTGTATCTTTGGAGTCGTCCTGATTGGTCTGCTGAGAACAAGGCTATAGCTGAAGCGCATGGACACAACTCTGCATCACAAGGGTTTAAGGAAGATGATCATTCCGACTGCCTAATCCCTGATAATTCAGTAGTTAATGATGAGCATTATGGTCAAACACTTGTGCAGATGGATGATGATCCCATAAAGACTGATAGTCCCAAGGATGTTGCAGGAGGGTCAGTTGCGATGCAGGTATTAGAGGGCTCTTGTAAGATCAGTGTTGACAGAGATGGCCATGTGAGTCCTCGTCATGGAAAGAACCACATTGAAGAGATATCAGGGAAACTGCAGTGTGGTGGCAGAGAAGAGCATCGAAGTGGTATGCTTGAGAACTCTTCAGAAAAAAAACTAGATGGTGTAAAGGTTTCTGGTAGTGAGATACGAAAGGAAATGCTGACACACACTGAGCCTCTTGAAAAAGGAAATCAGCATTCTGAGCCCAGCAATTCTGGTTCTAATATGGAGATAGAAACTACTGATAGTGGGACCCGCGCCAACGTTGCTGATGATACAGGCAGAAGCTTTGCCAGGAGCAGTGATGAGGCGTACTCCAGTCTGCCTCGTAGATGGAGCACTGCTGCCAATTCTGGTTCTGGTTATAGGGCTACAAATGTGGAGCAACTGTTTGTGGGGCACATGAGGGAAAGGTCAGATCGCCTTGGTTATGGACCATATTTGAATCAGGTAGAATACCCATATAGGAGGGAGTCTGACATACGCTCGCAGGTTCGCCTTTATGGTCAGCCAGATTCGGATCCTTATAGTAGTTTTTTAGTGGGTCAGAATCCTGTGAGTGGCCAGATTGGATCGTATCCCTCTACTTATGGCCATACTCATTTTGGTTCAACAGCTGGGTCATATTACAGAAGTAATACATCAGTCATGCAGCAGTATGCGCCTCGGTTGGATGAATTGAACCACTTGAGGATGGGTGCCTTAGGACCTGAGCCTAGTTTAGGATATGACCCGCACGTGTTCAGTAGCAACGTCCCTTTTGATCCTAGGGCACCCCGACCCGGTCAGCATGGTGGCCCCATGGGGTTTGCTCCTGGTCCTCACCAAAGCTATTCAAGCCAAAATTCAGCTGGTTGGCTGAACGAGTAAGTATGTTCCATGTATCTGTAGGTTTTGGCTTCTGTACATAGATTAGCTTATGCTTATGAAGATGTATTGTAACCTTTTACTTCATTTCACTGTACTATTTTAGTTGCATCTTGAAGTGAAACTTTTTATAACTTTCTATTGCTTTGCCCTCCCATATTTGCCATCCCTTTCTAATTTGAGATCTTATATTTGGGCTTCTGTGGTCATGCCGTGTTACTGTAATTTGAAAATGCCTAGATGATCACAATCCCTAAGGTTGTGTTTGGATGAGGCATTTTGAAGTGGAAGAGGAAGGTGGTTTTTTGCTTATTGCTCATAAATCAAGACGATATCTTAAATCCTTTGGTTTTGTATAAGTTGTTCATAATAAATAATGATTTAAACAATTAAGATGATAAATAAAAATGGTAAGTATACAGCGGATTACATCGTTTGGTTAAATCAAATCTTTCAATTTCACTATGCGATAAATTTTGCTAGAAAGTTAATCCCTTGTGAGGTACACATTCTTTGCAATCCTTTTTACTTCTCCGAGTTTCAACTGTCAATTGTAATTATTAAACTTACCACCAACAAAAGAAAAACAACCCACCCAATGAAAAAGTTATTACGACATAATTTAATTGATTGGAAATAGCAAAATAATAATACAAAAGTTATTACACGTAAATAATGTAATTGATCTGAAATAACAAAACAACGAGTGCTATTCTCTTCTTCACCCAAAGAGCCAATGCTAGTGCAATTAAGGCCCAACTAACAAAAAATTCAGACCCAAAAAAAAAAGGCCCAACTAACAATGTTCAACATTTTCCGATTAAAATAAAAAAAATAAAAAAATCAAGGTTTAACATTTAAACGAAGGCAAAACATTGCCCAAAGTTGGTGTATTTTGAGAGAAGCTAAGGGAGAGAGAATACGAAAAAAGAGGAAGGAATCAAGAAATGGATGGCGAAATCAACAACTTCATCAAGGTATGGATCCTAACCAACACCTCTCTATGTTATTGTTACTACATAGCAGCCAAAATCCCAAAGGGCATCATCAGGCTCATCTCTCTCCTCCCCATCTTCTACATCTTCATCATCCTCCCCTTGAATCTCCACTCATTCCATCTCTGTGGGCCCACAACTTTCTTTCTGGTTTGGCTTGGCATCTTCAAGCTCCTCCTCTTCTCCTTTAACCTTGGCCCTTTATCCCCAACCCCACCAACACTTGTTCAATTCATCTCCATAGCTTGCCTTCCCATCAAAATCAAACAAAACCCACCTCAAAAATCACCCCAAAACACAGATCAAAACCCTCTAACCCCTCAAAATAACAAAAACCCATCTCACCAAACCACCCCAAAACCCAAGAAATCTGTGAACCCAATTGATCAAACCCTCACAAATGTGCCCAATAAGTCAATTTTGCTGGCCATAAAAGCCTTGCTTTTGGCTTTGGTCATTAGGACATATGAATATAGACCACATTTACACCCATACATAATCTTGGCTCTGTACTGCTGCCACATGTACCTTGGCATAGAACTTGTGCTGGCCTTGAGCGCCGTCCCAGCTCGAGCCATACTTGGATTTGAGCTCGAGCCGCAGTTCACAGAGCCCTACCTTTCCACTTCGCTTCAAGACTTTTGGGGCCGCAGGTGGAACCTCATGGTCACCAACATCCTACGCCCCGTCGCCTACGACCCCGTACGCCGTATATCTATGCGTATACTTGGGCCTCGGTGGGCCCGGTTCTTGGCTGTGATGTCCACTTTTGCGGTCTCAGGTTTAATGCACGAGGCGATATACTATTATCTCACACGTGTGTCTCCCACGTGGGAAGTGACGTGGTTCTTCGTTCTACATGGCGTTTGCGTGGCAGTTGAGGTGGAGGTGAAGAAGGCTGCAGCTGATAGGTGGCGGTTGCACCCGGTGGTTTCGGGGCCATTGACGATAGTGTTTTTGGCCGTGACGGGCAATTGGCTGTTCTTCCCTCAGCTGCTGAGAAATGGTGTGGATTTGAAGGCTATACATGAGTATGGGATTATGGTAGATTTTGTCAAGGCTCATCTGCCCTTGCGCATTGTTGGTGCAAAAGATAGTTGATTGATACACACTTTATGTGTAGGTGCTCATTTTTATGCCAAAAAGGATCCATTGCTCAATTTTATTTGTTTCCTTTCATTTGTGACATAACTATTACATTAACACAAAATTAGTTAACAATAAAAAAAAATATATATATAGATCAAATTACATCATATAAAAATTTAAAATTCTTAATACAAAGTCTCGTATGTATAGCTCTCCATTGCGGGAAAGATACTTTTAGAATCCCCAATATTCTTGCTGGGCACTAAATAGAGTTTGCATCCATCAATTTTGGAGCCTCATGCTGCACACGTGATGCATATGAATTTCATTATAAATAAATCCTACATCCTCGAGGAGTGATGATGACCATACATTCGCATGTGCATCAACAAATTTCTTATTCAAAATACACATCCCAAGGTTTTGAAATAATATTCCTCGCACAAATGAAAGGAATAATGTTTTGAAATAAGAGTTATAAAATTGTCCACTCACAATTTTATACTACGCAATTTGTATATATACATTAAAAAAAATTGTACTATGCAATGACAAATGGTTCAACAAAGATGGCTTTGAATAAATTATTCAAATGATCTAAACACTACTCATGCCTTGTAGGGTCCAAACTAAATATTGACTGAGACCAAGACTTGCCCCACTCCTTAAGTCGTGTTACACTATAGTGAGGGTTTGGCTTGGTTGGTATTTCACCTACTTTGCCGGAAAGCGCCAGACAGGAACAAGAAAAATAAGATAAACCATGAGCTTATTAACAATTTGGGGACACAGAATTTGCAGGCTCATGATAAGATAAGCCAATAGATAGGTTGAGGCTGAGAGCAAATCACACAAGTTAAAGAGCATCAAACGATCATGGGGATGGAGGATGAAATCAAGAGATTAATCAAGGTATGCCTCTCCATCTTGGCCTCTCTTTGCTACACCTATTTCATAGCTTCTAAGATTCCCAAAGGCAAACTCAGGTTCTTCTCTCTCCTCCCCATCTTCTGCCTCTTCACCATCCTCCCTCTCTTTCTCTCCACTGCCCTCCCTGCTGGAGTTATTGCCTTGTTCATCACTTGGGTTGGTAGCTTCAAGCTCCTACTGTTCTCCTTTGGTCTGGGCCCACTTTCATCTGGCCCACCACTAAACTCTCTCCTCCTCTTCATCTTCACCGCTTGTCTCCCAATCAAGGCAAAGCAAGATGGACAACAACACCACCAAATTGCTCCAAACCACAAGACACCTCAAAACCCTAAATTTCCTCTCAATTTGCCAACCAAAGTCTTGCTTTTTGGCATATTGGTTGCTCTAACAGACTTCACAAAATATGTGCACCCCAACATTTTACTAGGCCAGTATTGCTGCATGTTGTATCTTTTTGTGGACATAATAGTAGGCTTGAGCAATGCTACCTTGCGAGCCCTTCTTGGCGTGCAACTCGAATCACCGTCCAATGAGCCTTACCTTTCCACTTCGCTACAAGATTTCTGGGGCCGGAGGTGGAACCTCATGGTAACAAATACACTTCGCCACACGGTACATAAGCCCGTGCAGTTGGCCATGGAGAACTTCTTGGGGCCCAAGTGGGCCCAGCTGCCGGCTGTTTTTGTTGCTTTTTTAGTATCCGGTTTGATGCACGAGCTCATATTTTTTTACATGACACGTGTGCCTCCCACGTGGGAAGTGACATGGTATTTTGTTCTGCATGGGATGTGTTTGGTGGTGGAGTTTGGTGTGAAGAGAGCGTTAAGTGGTGGAAGGTGGCAGCTGCATTGGATTGTGTCAATGCCATTGACCATCGGGTTTGTGGTGGTTACTGCGAGTTGGCTGTTCTTTCCGCCGTTAGTGAGGAACGGCGTGGATGCAAGAGCTATTGAAGAGTGCAAGGAATTGGTAGTATTTATGAAGGAAAAGTTAAAATGGGATGGTCTGCACAAAATTTAAGCGCTCTTGTTGCTTTAAATGTTTGTACTCATGCTTTAAAATTGTTTGTTTTGAGGCTAAACTAATGATTTGCCTCCTGAAATTGTACCTAACTTTCAATTGATATCATATTCATTTTTTTAAAAAAAAAATTAAGGATACAAACTTTTTTTCTTTCCCAATTTCCACCAGATGTATAAATCCTAATAATTTCAAAAACCCTATCTTTAGAAAATTAATGAATATTGCTATATGAATTCTATTTTTATTATTTATCTTTCAACACTACCAAAAAAGAAACCAACGGTTGTTACTTTTTTATTGGCGACTAATGCATCTTTAGTCACATTTTTTGGTGAGTAAAAATTTTAGTCGCAGTGCCCATTGTCACCATTCTAATAACACTTGTGACAAGCATTTGATTGACTTTCAAAAGCATCTAAAATACAATGGGCACATCATATAGCCAATCAACTTTAATTTATACATATATGATTTTTCCACTCTAATTTTATCCACTTACACTTCTTTTTTAGTTATAAAATAGGGTGTAAGTGGATAAAATTGTACTAGGGAAATCACCACTCATATTTTATTAAGTATTTGATTGGTTGGTATATTTCTTACTTTTCATATATTTTATTAAGTATTAAGTATTAAATTTATTAAAAATAATTACATTTTCTATTGGTATGTTTCTTACTTTTCGTTTTCCAATGATTAATTAATAAAATATGCAGCCATAAAGATATTGATGTCCGGGCTTGATTGCAATTTCATTAGAATTCCAAAAACAATTCAATAAAGACATTGACTTTCATTGCAATTTCCTCTACAGTAAACATTTCAATATACATATTGGCTTTGATTTCATCTTCATTACAATTTACAAATATTCAATAAACATATATGGCTTGACCCTTTGAATCTCCACCACCTCAATGCCCTCTATTGCCCAATTTGGTCTGTTTAACCCATGTTGTCCGCATCCAAACAAGCAATATCGCCGCATCTAAAGAAGCCAAATCAAAGCCTAGCACACGAAAAATCACCTCATCAGATCACCACTGAAACTAAAAGGGTCCAATACGTGACTAGAGTGATGAACTATCAACAAATCTGCAATAACAGAACTACTTTCATACCCATACGAAGAGAACTTCTGCACATTACATATATGGGTAAAAAAATTGAGATCAAAAGGACCAAAACGAACCAGATAGTTCCCGCCTCCCTTCCTCAGTCAAACTATGTGCTGGTCAATCATGTTGGCGTGAATCAATTCAATTATTCTTTATTGTAATTGATTTTGTATATGTATAATTATAGGAATATCGGATTGATCAGGATTGTATTTATTTTCTTTTTCCTTTCCTAGATAGGGTTATATTTGTATCACTATAAATACCTCATTGTGAGAAGAATAGAATACATTGAATAATTCAGAACGCTAATTCTATTTAAGTTGGTATTAGAGGAGTGATCCTAGGATCCTGCTCTCGCTGCTATATGATAAGCCTATATTTTATGCCTCATTTGCTTATTTATTTATTAATTTCGTTGTATTAAATTGGTTGTTTTTAATTGGTTTTGTGAGATTTGTGAAGGAATTGTGAAATAGGAGAAAGTGTGCTAAAAAGGGCAAGAAGATGAAGATTGGAGTTTAATTAAAAAGAAGCCCAGTCATTCCTTTTGTTGCAAGTAATGTTGTCAAATTTCCTAGTTCAAAATGGTTCAAATCTTATCAAGTCAAACAAGGAGAAATAAAGAAGACTTTATATTAGAAGGAATCCTATTTTTATAACAATTGTAATTATACCTTAAGTAGGATTTCTAGGAGTTTTATAACAAGGGAGTTTAGGTCATTGTTCAAATACTCCATTACCCATCATCCTCCATCATCTACCCTAAAAAATTCCTACACATTCATACTCATAGCCGAAAGACCATCATCCATCCTCCATCATCTACCATCAAATTCCTACACATTCATAGAGAGAGAGAGAGAGAGAGAGAGAGAGAGAGAGTTTTAGAGAGACAAAGAAGATGACCTGGAGCTAGAGTTGCTGTCGTGCAAAGATCAAATCTTCAATGGGTTTTTTCTTTACTATGATACTGTTTATCATGGTTTTTATTAAAGTTGTCATGAACTAATTTCTTTTTGCTAGGGCTACGATGTAGTCTAGCCATGAATACTCAATTACTTTAGTCAATGTTAATTCCAAGTATTTTTCCATGTTGAGTATCTATTATCATGCTTAATGCTTTGAATGTTTGGCCAACATTTAATTGTTTTGATGCTAAATTGACGATAGGGATATCCAATTTGGGCTTCTTGTAATAGATGCCATGAGTTACATGATTAGACAGGGATGTTTGTCATGACTTATGTGGTTGTTTTGTAGGTTTTCCAAGGAATTTAATGGGTTCTTATTATCTTAATTCCATTACTAGGGATAGAGTGGGTTGGTCATAAGAATACTTTTGGTATAACCAGGGATGGAGTATCGAATAAAGTAGGGAAAATCAACTGTCAACATGGAGAATAATTAGGATTAACATGCTAAGGGAATTGGGTAGAATTGGCTATGGTGAAATTGGAACCTCTAGTGCTCTCATAACTTTAATCTCACGACTTTATTTTTCTACACTTGCTTTTATTCATTGTTTTAGTTAATTAATCAATCAAATCTTATCATCAATTGTTCAAATAAAGTCTTGGGTTAATCACAATCGGTACTTAGTAAATTAAATCGCTCTTCATAGGAACGACACTTTACTCATCACTGTATTACTTGTGCGAATTGTGCGCTTGCAATAAATTTCACACCACTATCCTTGCTTTATATCACTTACCCTTTGCCGTTACCATGTTGCCGTTATCTGTTGCCTTCTCTTTGCCGCCTCTGTACCGTGCTGCTGTTGCCGCCATATCCTACTATTGTACCCTGCAACCCTATTTTTTTCTACCCTTGCTGCAATTTGCTGCATTTTATTCAACCCTTGTCGTGCTCTATCTTACCCTAATTCATCTTTATGGTTCTCCTTGCTACTAATTCTAAAAATGATCATGGTTGGATTCTTGATTCTAGAGCTACTGATCATATGATGTTTGATGCGTCACTTC